CCAGTTGTTGTTAATTTAGCGAGGGATTAAATCCTAAGATGAGTTTATTACTGTTGTAATTATTATTACCTATCAACTTCAGTTGCAACCATAATTGTAAAGCGCATTCTTTCGTGGTCCTGACAGGGATTATATGCGTTTGGTAGGCGTCGGTATAAACTCGTATACGATGCAATCCACTAAGAATCACAGCTAGCGAATAAATCAAATCACCGACGCACAATTGAATAAGCAGCTGAAAAAGAATATTAGTAAAGTACCAAGTCCCAAAAATTATTATACTAAGATGTTTCAAAGTTTAGAAAATCAAAGGACGAAACGTAGTCGAGAGGGGACATATGTAAGCTAGTCTATTTCTGCTTTGCGATGAGGGTATCGTTGGTTTTCCTCAACGAGGCGGGGGGGGGGGGCATGCTTTACCGAGAAAAATGTTTTTGTTCTAGATTTCTCCTGTTTCACGCGCCCTCCCACAGAGCTTGTCAGGAGTGTAGGGTGGAGGAGCCTTTGCGTATGCACATTTTGGCGCGACGTCAGTCTACTTCCATCAATGGCTGCCCACCCCACAGTGAGAGCGATTGGTGGTTACGGGTTGGGGCCGCGCCAGGGACGCCTGCACATGCTCCGTCAACCCCTAAGCAAAACTAATATTTCTGATAGCTAATCGGAGGTGTCTATCCCCTCTTCTTCCTCCCCACGCGCCCCGCTCCCTCAGGCTTGAAACAAATGCTTGAGATTATTTGGTAAGGTGCTGACTCGGTTATGGAAGCGGGTCGTACCGGAGAAGGAAATTCGGGAAGGGGAGGCGTATTTAGCCAAGAATTCTCTCCAGTGCCAAGACGTGCTCGAGACTAGACCGCAGCTTTTCGTCCTAGTCTGTGTTCCGGTAAGCCGTAGGTGGGTAAATACTAGAAAAAAGTCTGCGAAACTGACCACATATCGTGTCCGAAACGGGCGATAACCGAGGAATATGCCAAGCAGAACCAAGTTAATTGCCAAGCATGCTACACCGAGAGTAGTGTTTACGATGTGATAGTTGACGCGATCTTCTAATCGATGGGCAACAGTAGCATTAACTGTCGTGTATTCTTCGGCCATCAATGTTTGATAGATCAGACCTGAACTTCAGAATCGCTGAATGAGAATCTCTGACCACGAACACAAACATAAACGAATTTGTGTGAGATCGCGAAAAAGGGCAAAAAAAAACCAAAGTCAATAGGAGAAAAAGGCAACAGGAGCAGAAAGGCAATGGGTAGAATGGCGCGATAGCACAGGCGTGGTCTAAATAGCGCTCTTCATGAGGCATGAAAAGGCTGTTCTTTCATGAACAAAATGCAGAGAAACTTTTCCAGTCATTCAACATCTCAGTCAACACAGAAAATGTTCCCTGTTGCTGGCGCAGATTGGCGAGGGGGGGGTCGCTTTCCACTTTTGCTTCTTCGACCTATCTAGACAGCCTTTTCTCGAGTTGACAGGTTTGATGGCTTGACGACCTTGCTCCAGCTTCACAAGAGTTCACAGGTTTCACCAGAGTGAGACTTGTAAACCGGAACTAGAGAAGCAACGAAAGTACAAAATGCCCCCGTCGAAGAACTACGCCCGTGTAGCCTTGTCGAATGCATGGCGCATCCTTCCTAACACGTAACAACTTCAATTTTTTGCTACGTTGCCACATTGCCAGTGGCTGAATGGTCCTTCTAATGACAGTCTGAGCCATGCTTCGCAGAGATTCGTCTATGGCATGAAATGCGCACTAATGTATAATAAAAAGATGCTTCGAGTGGAACCCTTTTTGACATGGGAATCCAACCCAACTTCCGCCCTGTACTGCCGATTTAAGCGCAACGCTCCTTGGTAGTCTCGTAGTAGGGGATGTGCGGTCATCAACTGTAACGAAACCAGGTCTTCCACGGCCCCACACCCCCTTCCTAATTCCCTCTGGTGCTACATCCCCCAGCCACACGTACTATCGCCCCTCAATTCTGTTTCCTTTACCAGTACCGAACCGGCTTTCCAACTTTCAAGACAGTGTTTTCCCGAACGACATTTAACCACTTTTTCACTTTTCGGAGTTTTATTTTTCCAAAAATGCGCAGTTTTTCCCACGAAAAACTATGCGCTCTGTGGACAGGGTCCGCGAAATACAAACAACCCTCTCCCTCCATCGATCAAATACCACCGCTTTTACTGAGGGATTCTCACAGCGCGACGAGCCCTACTGTGCAGACGGCGCGACTAGTTCATACAGGTTCGTGTTCCTCTATATAAAGAGGGACAAGAATGCGATATAAAGCACAGTTCGCGAAACCGCGAATTGCTGGGAAACGGAACTCAAATAGGCACAAAAAAGTGCTAAGTATCTGATTAGCGGAGAAAAGCAGCAGAAAAAGCAGTCCGAAATGTTATAGAGAAAGATAACATAGTGGCTACTAGCTAGTAGCTAGCAGCCGGTGAGGGTCGGCATGGGCCTAAGGGGTGTCCATGGGCCTAATTAGTCAGCTTCTAGCGGAGTTCTTGCCGTTTTTCACATTTTGAAAGTAGCGCAGCCTCAAAAATCGCCTTCCGGATCTGCCTTAGACGGATAGTATAATATAAGTTAATTCACTTATAATGCACCCCTATTATTACTCCTATTACAGAAATAAAAAAGCAGTTTTGAATTATAATGGCTTTTCATGTTGATGAATACGTCTTGGTATAATGATGTCTTCTTTCTACGTATAGAGAAGACGGGAATGTTGCCCTACGCTACAAGGGCTTGATTTTCTAGGTAAAGTAGCAAAAGCAAAAATGACGATGGAAATGGCTAACGAAGATTCGAATAACGAGGAATGCTCAGTTGATGCGGCGTCGCTACCTGAGCTTGTGCCTTTCTCAAAGTGAAATGCGCTCTAGGCTGTAAAATTCTGCAAAAAGACCTATGAGACGTTGTCGTCAATGGCGCAAGATCATGGAAAAAAGGTTATGCTGCTACTATAGAACTAGATAATTCGAAAATCCAAGTTGACCATTGCGAAGAATTCAAAACATTCTCAAAAATCTTTTGCACAACGCACAAATCTTCGATAGCGTTAGGGATATTCTTTGGATTCTTCCAAATATGCCGGCATTTTGGTAAAGATTTTGATACCGGCAGAAAAACCACGAAATGGTGCCAGTTAGGCCAGTTCGGCTTGGAAGAGGGGCGCCCACTTATGCTCAGTGAAGAAGTTCAGGACAATTCGTGAACACGTGTAAAGTCCTGTCGCCCCAAATACTAGCCGCTGAACCACTACCGTTTGCTGAATCTCTGTTGAATTCTTCCCTACTTTTAGGCGATTGCCCCTTTCAAGACAAACAGCGCATCAGTTCCTTTTGAACTAGGCAGTAGCTATTGTGCAGCATTTCGTTCTTGAGGATCGTGACCAAGGAGGGAAGAGGAATCAGTATGAGTGAGCAAATTCCTTTGTACAGCATGTGGTTTTTGCATATTGTGGAGGATGACTCACTTACCTTGGAGTCATTATTCCTTCTTCACCCTCTCCATCCGCATTTCCTGACTTCGTTTTTTTTATTTTCAGAGACTATGGTCTCACGGGAGTCGAATTCCAATTGAATTGTTAACATTTCGAAGATTTATTCGAGTTCACACGGCTTTACAACATTGCTCTGCACATTTGCAGGACTTCACGGCGTGTTCCCCCCCCCACCGCATAAGAACAGCATATATCAACATTGCAACCTGTGAGGCAATTGAATCGTCTTTTTTGCTAGATTTTTTACAAATAGTGCCCTCACCAGCCTAAAATTAATTGTTCCTGTTTTTTGTTTAGTTTTCCCTCATCCCCTAAGCGTAGTTATTCTCATGCGAAAACGTTGAATCATTAAGTTATTAGTTCCTCTAGATGACCTGCAATAAGTTAACCGCTAAGTATGGTTCAGGAGGAACACCCAGTAATTCCCACGGTGGACTCCCTAATTTAAGTTTCACTTTTTGGGAGGTTAAAGAAGCACAGGTAGGCGGCCAACTACGTCAGCAGTTAAGAAACTGATGACGTATAATTGGCGTCTTACGTGACACCTCGTCTCACTACCGTGTAAGTGAACCTGTCATTGGCCGACTTAGCAGGTAGCGGACTTTTTTACACCTGCGCCTCTTGTTTTCAGTTTTCGGAGGGGGAGGAGGGGGCAGTGGATACCATTGGGGAAAAGCTGCGGTAATGTGATAGGAAATTTGGAGAATTTTGGAAGACGGTAGGTAGGATAGGGGATGGGAAGGCATGGGTTCTAGCAGAAAAGGAAATCTGGAGGCGTGCACGGGGCGTATCTTGCAAACGTTTTCCCAGAACCTGCCCTGATTGTGAAGCCATTGGAAACTTTGTGGCCAACCCATTCAGTATAGTGCAGTACTATCATTGTTGAGTAATAAGACAGCCGTCAAGAGGACTACAAGAAGGAGAAAAACCAAAAGTGGCTTTTTTGAAGCATGTGCACTCTGGGAATGGAAAAATTATTGTTCGTAAATTTGGCATAACGTGATGACAATCGATGGCGAATACGGCAACGATGTTATTCAGATTCAGATCGTACAATGCCTGTTTCGAGATGATCAATAAAAAAGGCGAGCCGGTAGCGCAAATGAAGTGGGATCTCAGGAATAAGAGGCCTAGTCCGGTCTGGTAGGCGCACGAAACGCTATGCTGCAAAGTTTCTACAGGGCACCTTGTGGAGGTCTGTAAGCCCCTGTAACCATGGAGGCTCGAATGGACCACTCTACAGCTTTGCAGCAGTTCACAGGTTTCATCAAATCGAGACATATTAGTTAACATGGACTATAAAAATGATATAGCAGAAGAGCAAAATGCCCGCTTAATCCCAACAGCGCCAGTGTAGGCTACTGGTGCTACCCAAAAGCGGTGTGGTTGTTCCTAGGAAATACTCAAAAAAGATGGGGTGCTGCTGCACTGATTGCATAGAAGATGGATGAAGGTGGTGCAGAGTCTGAGCGGTGAGCTCACCGCATATTCCATTCTTGGAGGTCTAGGCTAAAAGGGCAAGTTATTTGTGCAGAATAAGAAATGCCGAGTGAGGAAAGCTACTTGGGAGAGCACATGATGGCTGATGCAGCGAAAACACTACAGACAGTCTAGACGTGACTACTCCAATTAAGGGTACAGTAAGGTCTTGTGCCATGAGGTCGGAAACGAGGGCAATGAAGTAAAAATTTGTTAGAGTGATCGAAGACAAACTCTGCGACTGCAAATTGTGGACTGTGGCCTTAGTTGTAAAACTGTAGCTGCTAAGAGACTCTCCAGGTTGGGGAAAAAGGCAAAAAGCCATGCAGAACATCCCAAATAAGAACCCTGGCAGTCTCACCGTACAACTTCTCCGGACCTGCTCTTCCATGCCAGCGAAGCGATGTCCTTCCGCCTCTGGCTCACTAGTCATTTCCTCTCGTCATACAATGCTAATACAATCTGACAGTGAAAAGATGTTGAGAAACTGAACTGGAAGAAAACAGTGTTTGAGTTTCGGTGAGCGGGGCAAATTGGGATTCAGAACAGCCGCTGATGGGGCCCGCAGCACCTTCCTTACTTACTTCTAACCCATACCCGGGAACTGTCTGTGAATCCAAGAAAATAGATGGCGCAGTTCGACGACGAGGCGGGTCGAGGCATTTTGCATCTCTGCTACTTCCCATCGATGTGTCGAGTTATCTAGAGAGCTATTTCATGAGCTTACAAGAGTTGACAGGTTCCACCATGGTAAGTCGACCAGCTTGCTCGAGTTTCACAAGGATTCACGGGTTTCTCCAAAGTGAGACTTGTAAACCAGAAGCAGTAGAGCAAGGAAACTGTAAATGTCTTTCCTCTCGCCCCCCCCCCCCAACTATCTCCCAACCCCTTCAGACAGAGTAAATAATTGGGCATGAATTTCTGTCCAGACACGAACGTTGTAGAATGAGAGAGAGAGAGAGAGAGAAAGAGACTGTGATCATCGTACGGGAAGCCTTGCAGACGAAAGAATTCGAGGTAAAAGTGAAACGAGTTCGATGTTGTGGAGACATTTGATACTCACAAAAACTAGTTATCGAGAGAGTTCTGACTTTCCGCTGC